GACAATCGGATCAAAACGCGTCGAAATTCAAATTTTACAAAATATTGATCCGCGATCGACCGTACCAAAAGGTTTACTCGAGCATTCGACAAGTAACAATGCAGACAATGCGAATTGTGGCGATCAGACATATCGACTCTCCGAATTGCGAAGCCGGTGCGCGCAGGAGGGCGAATTGTGCAAAATTGCGAAGCCGGTGCGCGCAGGAGTGCGAATTGTGCAAAAGGCACCCTAAGGCTCAGGAAGGTCCTATAGGGAATCCCTTTTGGGTTTCCTCATGTTGGTTTCGTCCTTCTAAGTGCTAGAAGTTGACACCACACACGCGAAACTCCAGAAGGGGATGGATGCGGGTCGAACTAAAACGAGGCGGGTCCCACTTCTAAGGTTCTAAGATAGTCGCAGGAAGACCCCTAAGGCTAGATCCTAACTCCTACGAGGAATACTAGACCTCATGAAAAAATTGAGGTCAACAAAGAGTTAGACTGGTTTAAGATATTACAATAAAAAAAGCTTGAAACTCTATGCTTAGTGTATAAAGAATACTGAAGTCTTCTCATTGCTCCAAGGGTTATTGTGTTAGAAATCATAAATGACTACATTTTTATTGATTAGGGTGCTAGTACAAACATGCCTATATATAAAGAGAAGAGAATAGATCAATATTGAAAGTATAGTGAAGAAGAATGTCTTCATAATTAGGATATAAACACTAATAAATGTTATGGATTCCTATTAAGTTTCATGTATATGTGATAATACTAAAATGATAATATAATAATTCTAATTACTCTTAACATCCTCTACAAATTTAAGATGGAAAACAAGTAGCATTAAGAGTTTGTGTAGTCAAGAAGAATTGAGAGACTTTACACAGAGTTGTTTTATAGATTTTTCAAAATTACTATTTGGACCGATCGGTGTTGCATTGAATTTTTATTAGGAAAACCAAGAATAACTAGATCTTCATTGGATCCTCATGAGAGATAGGATCCTCACTTGATCTGCAATGAATCCTCACGATATCATTGAGTCAGGAGAGGAACTAAATAGAGTAGCATGCATGACATTAAGATGCAAATGTTGACTCCAAGTGGATGTGAAGACCTCCTTCAACTAGTGAGCAACAAACCAAAGAGTGTTTGAAGAGCATTGACTGAATGCACAGAGCCACGAATCAGAGAGTGCTTGTGCTCAGTAGTTTGCTGATAGGCGAATCAAGGATCTCTTTTACCGAGCAACTACCCGACCTATGCTTGGAGATGCGATCAAGGAGAATGTGAACAAAAAAAAACGAGAATGTTGATAACACAAAGATGTGAAGGCGTGGATGAGTTCTATGCTTGGGTAGGAAGATGATCACAACACATAGTAAGAGATCATGCAAAGCAATGAGGAGGAGGTGAAGATGATTGCAAGTGAGACAAATAAAGCCGTGATCATTGTTCTTTAAAACAAGGCAATGATGATATTGAACACCCTGAAGGGAAGGATAATCAACAGGCACTTATAGGCATGTTCTTGGGGATGAAGATTATCTTTTGTGGTGAGACAAAAAAATTAACATCAGGGCTTTAATACCATATGAAAAATTTTAAAAACTACATCTTGTTTTGATTAATTAGGATGCTGGTGCAAATCTACTTATTTAAAGGCAAGAGAATAGATTAATATAGGAAGTACAATAGAGAAGAATGTTCACCATAATGAGGATCTATTTACAATTATAAATACTACAGATTCATTTAATATTAAGCATATTTGATGATATTAATATGGTAACATAATATTTCTAGTTACTATAATAAACTACATTCTCAACCAAGGTGTTATCGGAAAGCCTCCTACTAAGTTTACCATTTTCTATAATGACCATCTTTTCAAAATAGGTTCTCATCTTGTATTTGAGCAAAAACTTGGATCCTTTATTTGGGATCAAATCTTGCATGAAGGTTGATAGATCATTGATGACTATGCCTTGGTGACTAACACTAGTGTATGTACACTTAGATGCATGCAAACAGCATTTACGATAATGAGTCTCACTGTGCATGCGCATCACTATGTTATCATGCATATAATCATGGGTTTATGAGTATGTGTCAGATCCACATTTATCACTGGTTTGCATGAATATGCATTTGTATATAGGGATGTTAGTTATCTCATTTTGATTTGATAGTAGCTTAAGATCAACCTAGAGCCATTTGATCTGATATTGTGCTTAGCTATGCCTATTTATGATCTATTTTTATCTGACTTTGGTTCTATCTTGACATATCTTGTTTCCCAAGGTTGATTCAATTTTAGATCAAATTTTTATCTTCTAAGACAAATTCTTTGTTCTCTACACATGCTTCGATGCATCTCTATGCATACATGTATGAGTGCACGGATGCTTATGTGCATGAATAAAAATATATGCAAATACATGATTATACTGCTTCAATCTATTTAAAAAAAAAAAGTCCTATGTTTATTTTATAGTGAACCAAACAACTCAAAATATTTCAAATACAATACATTACTTTTGTTTTACATTCATTTTGCACTGCATTACTTTTTAGCAAACCAAGTAGCCCCTTAGTACTTAAAAAAAAAAAAGGGCCATTAGTAAGCTGCTATTACGGGCGTCAAAAATTGACCCGCCACGCCAACACAACTTGAACTCGATTCGAAAAAATACGGGTTAGGGTTGACTCGAATATTTTTTGAGTCGGGTTCGGGTTGACCTAAAAACTCAAACATGACCCGAATAAACACGAAATTTTGGGTCGGGTTCGGATTAGCCGGCCAAGCTTGGTTCGGGTCTTAGTTTTCGAACCCATTTATTATTTGGGTCGGGTTCGAGTTGACCACCCTATTCGGGTTGGGTCATTTTTGGGTCAAACCCGAACATGACCCGTTGACCTCAATTGACACCTCTAAGGCTTCTATCAAGAATTGGAGATGGGCTGGCTGATGCCTTTCTTAGACACAGTTACGTGCATACCACCCAATCCCTATTTATTTACATATCTTATACCTAAACTTTAAATTTTTACTTTTATAACACCAAAATTTTTAATATCACAAAAAAATACCACTATTTTGACTTTTAAAAAAGTGAAATACATGTTATCATGCATAGGTAAGGTGACATTATATATAAAAATTGAAGTTTAGGTGTTAGATATGTAATTACATAGGAATTGAGTGTTATGCATGTAAATCTTTCTTTTTCTTTCATTCACGATAAAGGGTTTATGGGAAAGCTAGCATGATTAATTCAGAAATGTATATCATCAGGTTGGTGACCAACCACAAGCCTGAATAATCCTTCTCGTTTCCTAGAGTTGGCCAACGTTGAGTATATTGACATTGCATATTTGGTTATCATGATTTTTCATGTGCAACAGTTTTTGCTTAATTTTTATCTTAATATCTTAGCTGCTAATTTTATTTATTGGTTCAATGTTCTTTTTCCTTAGAATTTTTATAAACCACACCTTGATTTTCATTTTGAGTACCTTGGTTCTAAGTATTCCCTTCCTAAAGGAAATCTTTTTAACCATTGTTTACTATTTTTGACGGTATATTAAATTGTGAATTTCTAACTTGTTGCTGTTGTTTCATGGATTAGGTGCTCATTTACTATGCTATCCTGGGGCATTTAACATGACCACTGGTCCTCTGCATTGGGAATTGCTACAGAGAGCAAGGTAATTGGTTTGTTGTGCAAGCTTCCACAATAGAAGCTCATGCTATAATTTTCATCTCTTCCAGTTGTCTTATTATGCACCAACGTACCATTTTAAGACAATAAGCTACGAGCAGTGTAATTTTCCTTTAGTTAGTTATGTTTATTTATGAAATGTAAGGATGTAGGATTTCTAATGCATCATAGGATGATGTATAAAATGAAAATATAAAAATTCATAATTTATAGGTTTCTAATTCATAATTTTAGCAAAACTTAGCACTATAAGTTGAACAAACTTCCTCTATTCATTTCAATAGATAATTGAACAATTGCGAAAATCAAAACAACTTGAGAAAAATATCTCGGAATAATAAAAATCAATATCTAACCAAGTTCATCTTCAAAGAAAATCAAACATGCATCTCACATGACATAATTACAGTCAACGCTAAAAATTAATGACCAAGCTGAAGGTTGGAAATCATCCCTAAACAAAGCACCAAGCTTCCCAAATAGGTAGTCATCCAAACCTGTGAAGCAATCGAAGAGCACAAATCCAACTAGAACAAGCACTAGTAGAAAAATTAGAATTGTATTTTAATATTAATTATATAATGATTTTTACATGCTTTTGGGTCATTTTATAACTTTAACGGCCTCACAAAATAGGATTTTTTTTTTTTTCAAAAACAGTGTTTGAAAGGAAGACCAGGGTTCTAAGACCAGCATGGGGTTCTAGATGGGAAAACGAGTCATAAGGCAGCTCTTTAGAATAGAATGAAAGTAGTGAGAAGGCACATATTGTGCAATAGATAAGAGTTAAGAACAACAAAAGTCTAATGGGCAAGGTGGCAAGGTGACAAACAACTGGGGTCGCAACAACATAGGTGGAAAATAATCAATGGGAATTTACTTAGAAGTGATTATCAACAGAAAATGTGGCGGAGAAACAATTGTAAAATCATTTGAAAATGCAAGGACAACATCATAGCGAAACTACAATATAACATGGAAACAATTGTGGGCAGCATTAGCAATTCATTTTGTGGTATTGAGTCTCAGATCCATGGATATTGATTGTTATTCCATCACTTATGTTGAAATGCTCTAATAATGAGGCAGACCTTATATATTATTCAAACTAGTGGTGTATACATTCTGTTTGTATAGGAATCAAAATTATAGGCACGCTTTACTTGACAAAAAAAAAGAAGAATACATTAATACAATTTATCTGTCTTTATTTTCTATGATGTAACAACCTTGAATGGGAGTATATTTTTAGATTTCTGTGAAATCTAGACTTGAAGAGTTGGATTTGATTAATTTATCATTTGATAGTATTCAAGTCTTTATATAACTGCCTTGCTTCCTTGTAGAATAATTGTCAAGTCATCACATACTCATTTGTCACACCAATGTATAAGATATCTCAATCACCAGAAGTGGTGAAAACAATCTCATCATCTTTAATAGCTTTTGGAATAAATACCCATTTGGTAAAGTGCTGGATGTGAATTCATAAGGAGAGGAGGAAAATAGAGAAGAATTCAAGATATTGGCAACATATTCATGAATTAAAGTCAAATTGGATATGATTGATAAGAGTTCTTTTGTGAATTTCCAAGTTGTAATTGCTAGTTCCAATATTTTGCTAAACTTATATAGCCTTGCCTTTCTTGTAATTAATTTCTTAAGGGCAATAGTAGGAAAACCCTTTGAACTTACACATATGATTATCTGCTCTCTTGATTTAAATTTCACATATTTCCTATGCACATCAACAATGTACTTAATTATCATATTTATTGGGATGGCGGTAGCTGTTTGTCCTAGTAGTTATATTATAATACACTGTTATGAATATGAGATGCCTATTTTTTAAAATATTGGATACAAATACACATTGGACACAACATTGTATTATTATATTTTTTTTTAAGAGAGAAAATAATATAATAATTACATAAATTAAATTAATATGGAATGAATTAATAAGTAACAATGTTATTTCAAATGCTCATAAAATTTAAAGTATTTTTTTTTATGTGTTTAATACGTAAAACTCAATTGAAGAAGAAATAGTAACATAATATTATATATTGTTAGCTTAAAATTGAGAAATTAATTCAATTGTAAATATAATTATAAATATTATAAAAACCGTAAAATGTAGGGCATAATAAGAAAAATAAAATTAAGATTAAGTAGCTGTTAAATTTTTTCAAGTAAAATATTTTAACATAAAAGAAAATATGACTTAAACTTATTTATATAATATCTTTTTAAAATTAAAATCTATAATTCAGAACACACGAGTTTGATAGTTGTGTCTGTTAATTTTTTTATTTTTCTTAATTCAATGTGTAGATGGTTTGCCCGATATGTATCAAGTTCGTGTTGGGGCAAATGCATGTGATTGACATGGCGTGCTTTGTTATTATAAAGTGTTATTGTATCATAGTACCTATAACTGTTGTGATTAGAATATAAAGCTAATTTTGGGTTTAATACTTTTTTTTAATTTTTAAAAAGGGTCAGGCTGTTTTCTTATAGCTGTCACACTAGCAATTTTAGATGTAAAAAGATGCTTCTCACCATAAAATTTTATGACAATAATAAGTTGTAGACAAGAATAAGTGTGGTAATGATTTGAAAAACAAAGTGGCAAAAAGTTGCCATAAACAGTCTCTTAATCATTGTGTTCTAATAGTTGCATATCACTTTATTAAATTGCTAACTGCCATTCTGATTAATTTGCAAATTTTTACGAGGACATTCATTGACATAATGACCAATATGTTGACATTTAAAATATCTTCTGTTAGATATTTTTGACTAAGATGCAACAACAGCAATTGGTATTTTAGTGTTTTTATTAGCAATAGTGTTAGATACAACATATTAATTTTGGGATTTGCAACAAAAATATGCACTATGATTGTTTGTTGCAGAATTTCATAGCATAGAAAATTTTAACATTTGCCCAATGTTCAATGCAAGTTGAAAAGACGCTGAAATGATGAGGATATGATATCATTTCTCATTTGATAAATGATGAGGATATGATATCATTTCTCATTTGATATGTCTCAAATTATACTTAAACCCAAGGAGTATTATTTTAGGATTTCGATGATTTCTAAACATTACAATAATTCTTCTCATTTATTCTTATACGTAATTAATTTTTGTTTTTTGTTTTAGTGGATTTAATTCATTAAGGTTAGATCACAATATGATAAGGACTTTACTCACACATTAGAGGGGAATCATGCTCTCTTATTATTTGAATAAACAAATTTGATGAAAAAATAAAATGAATGACGCATAATTCAAAACAAAGTATTTTATTTAATTTTCATTGTTGAATTGAAAAATATTATAAGTTTTTAATCTAGTTTCTATTTTTTTTATAATATTGCACTACAATTTTATTGAGAATTAAATAAAATTATTCCTTTTCAATATAAAGAATAAGACAATCGTTAATCACACGACCACACAATTGATGTTTGACAATCTTTTTTGTAGAAAATACTCTTTCAACTGTAACAATGGTAAATTATAAAATTAATGCCAATAACAAAATTTTAAATTAAAGGAAACACATCATCATTCATTATCTTTATTAATTGTTTAGTAAGACCAGCCAAATCATTTAAAGATGAGAAATCAATATTATCACACATATCTATAGTATAAGTGGATGGTTGATACTCAAGTGTGAAACAACTTAACAATAAAAATATTGTAAGGATATAAGTGCAAGACGAATTAGTTTTCCCTAATCAAAGACAGAGAATCAATCACTTGCTTTTAGGCACCCCACACAAAGAAATAACTTGATATTTGCTTCAAAAAAATAATTATTCGGCTCTTGAAGTCGCATGTCAATCATAAGATAAAGTTACTCAACATGATAATATAATATATATTTTTAATTTTTTTTTCAACTGTACTTTTTTTCAACTGTACTTATTGATCGATGATGAGGCTTGAAGACGTAGATTTTATCTCCCTTGAAGATCCAATTAATATCTGAAACATCAATTTAAATTTTTTTATTGAAACAAGATACTTTATACAATAAATATTTTTATCCATTCATTCTTTTTATTTGTAATTGTTGTTTGGGTACTTGTATCATTTTCAATGCTTTATATTTTGAGCGCCAAAAAATTGTTCATTTTCAACTCGTTGACTTAGCAAACAAATCCAACACGAGCTTCTTAGTAAGCCGAACACGAGCTTCTTAGTAAGTCGAACACGAGCTTCTTAATAAGCCGAACACGAACTGTTCGCGAATAATAAGCTGTTTTGACAGCTCTAATTAAGTCTTACTTTTAGATAACATGCACAAACTCTTATACTTTTAATGCGGGACATCTTAGTGTCTAGGATTTCTGCTATAGTTAGTGTCATTGTCGATGAAATTCAAATTAGTTGGATTTAGAAACTTGTAGTTTTAAAGCTCATCAGTTAAATTAAATATGTGAATTCATGCCAAAAAATAATCTTATGATCTTCCAAGTAAAAACGTTGAACATGAAAATAATACCGCTTAAAAAAATAACTCGATTAGTACTGAGATCACAATAAGAAAATTCGCTGTAACTATTTTGACTAAAATCAGTCATGTAGGCAAACCCATATTGAATCATGTAGAAGAGAACAAAAAAAAAATAAGTGATAGCTTTTATGTTGGTTTTTGGAAATGAATTGCATCAGAAATTAGTAGTGATATTTGTATTGCACTTGAACTCAACGTCTAACAAACACAAAAAAGATTGAAGAAAACGAAAATTTTGTCATAGATTTTGCTATTGATAATCAACTGGTTTCTCTAGAGGTGAACAATTTAAATATATCAAATTAGTTGAGATTTCTCATCCCTTAAATTGATTGAGCCCATGGATCATAAGAATTCAACATCTATAAATTCTATAATTCAAATTTTGCAATTCTCAAGCATGGTCAAGAGCATGCAATAAAGACGTGGAAAAGCAGTGAATACAA